AAATCACTAATCTACTAATACCCACTACCTTGACAATTTTGTAAATATAATTTGTATTAATATTTACCTTCTTTTAGAAAATAGGACCGGTTAGCCTATTGGAATGGTTGGACCATGACTAGATTGGGTTAAAAATTTGCCAAAATTGCCAACCCAACTAGTCAGACTCGAAAACTAGTGAATCAGTCATGGTTTTAGAAAAACAACTGATTGTTTAAAGGGAAATTGTCCAAAACTCACAATGAGTTTTCAGCATTTCTTTTAAACTCATTACAACTTTTCAAAATGTCTAAAACTCACCATGCCACTAACTTGACGTTAAATAGACTAACGGGTGTTTATATATTACCATTTTTACCTTAACTATAAAGTATATACAAAATAAATTAATGGGTGTTAATATATTATCATTTTAATATTTAGACATGAAAAAAAAAGGCAAAATTCAAAAATTATAGAAACTATAGAAATTGAAAAACGAAATCAGAAAATAAAAATTGTAGAAAAAACACCAAAAATTGTAGAAAAACACAAAAAAGTTATAAATAAATAACAAAAATATACAGGAAAATTTATAGATTGTAATAAAAAATGTAAAAAAACAGAAATTATAAAAATCATTGGAAATTATAACAAAATACTAAAAGTGTAAAAAAAAACAAAAATTATAAAAAACATTGGAAATCATAACAAAATACTAAAAATGCAAAAAAAAAACAAGAAAATTGAAAACTGAAAAAGACCATTTTTCCTCTAAATCGCCATTCAAGGGTAATTTGGTCATGAAAATTGTTATTTATGCTGACCTGGACACCTTTGTTAAGAAGCATTAACGGTGCACTAATGGAAGGTGAGTTTTGGAAATTAAAAACTTACTGACATGGTGAGTTTTAGACATATTGAAAAGTTGTGGTGAGTTTAAGGGAAATAATGAAAACTCATGGTGAGTTTTAGACAATTTCCCTTTTTTAAATTGTTTTAGCACATTAATGCAAACTTTTAAAGGCCATAATTTTTTGCTCAAATGCCCTATTGCGATGACCTTTGTTTTATTTTGGGTAACTTTTCGATATAGGTGCCTTATAAAAAATTGAAATTAAAATAAAAAATGTATATTATAAAAGAATACAATTATATAATTTGAATATATTAGAATCCAATATATAATTTATAATATTGTACATATGTATAATAATATATATTATAATATATAATATATATAATCACAATTTGACCTCAGTTAAACCTCTAACCTATGAACTAGGGGTGAGCACTATTTGGTTAAAACCAAAGAACTGAACCAAAAAGTTCAGTTTTGGTGTTCCGGTTTGATTTTTCAGTTTTTGGTTAAATCAATTTGGTTAATTCAGTTTTCGGTTTTAGAATTAGAATTTTGGTTAACCGAATTAACTAAACTTTTTATTATTATATGTAATATAATATACTAAAATTTGATTTCATAATATATATTTATATATATAATAGAGTATATATTATTAAAATTCGATTTTAACCAAAATAACTGAAAGCTGAACCAAAAATTTCAGTTTTTCTAAATTTCGGTTTCGATTTTGTTTTTATTTTTTTAATTCATTTTTTTTAAATTTTGGTTTATTTGGTTCAATTTTTAACTGAATAAACTGAATGCTCACCCCTACTATGAACCTCTCCCTTTTCTGGGTTGATGTCTAGCCCGGTTCTCTAAACATTGATGTTTATTATAAATTTTTATGATGAATTTTAGCTTTTATTGGTAATCATCTACTAACAAATGAATTTAATTAAGCATTAAAATACAAATTTAAGTGACAAATACTTGTGGTATGGCATAGTGGTGGACTTGTAGTCATTACAAACAAATAACTAGGGTTTAATTCCCTTTGTCCTCTATTTGTGATTTTTAATAGGCAAGTTTGAACATTACCTTAAATGCAGTATTCAATTTGCCTTTAATAATGTGTTATTAAATGTGATAATTAATTAAGAGTCATTAAATGTGGCTTTCTAGGATCTTTCATAAACTAGCTTAGCACATGAATAGGATATACAAATTACTTGGATTAGCCTTGCATTTGATTTTATAGAGCCACCCATTTAGGGATGCAAACAGATCAGATTGGATTTGAATCAAGGTCTATTCGAATATGATCTAACATTGTTCATATCGGATCCGATCCGATCAGATTTGATAGGATTCGGTTTGAATTCGAATCCTATCAATAAGTCAAATATTTGGGTATGATCTGATCCGACTTGTTTTCTTTAAAAATTAATAAATTATTAAAAGAATAATAAAATATACTAATTTAAATAAAGTAAAACAAAAAAGATACAAGTATTTTTTAATTATTTTTATCATATATATACATGTTTTTTATAAAAAATAAATAATATTACAAATTTATAAATAAATAAATAACATATATATATATATATATATATGTATTATATATATTCATATTTATAAATATATAATATACATCGGACCAGATAGGGGGTTGATGCGAATCCAATCCGATTTCTGATCGGATCATATTATCCGATTCGAAGATCCGAACAGGAGAAATATGAATTTGACCAAACAGGAGAAATATGCACCCCTACAGTGATTTTCACCCAATAGGCTCCAGTGTCCAAGTGTGATTTTCACTACAAGAAAAATGCTCTAGGCCGACGGTTTAGAAGCCAACGATTGAAAATTTCGTCGGCTTAGATGTACCTATGGTGACAGTTTTAACATGGCCACCAGCTCTGAATTAAGCAATGCAAAAATAAAAAGTGGGATGATGGTTTTAAATTGAATCAACTGTAAACCTATAGTAAATCGGTCTAAAATAGAACAATCGACAGGTATCTTGGATTTCAACTTCAAATAGAAAATATTAATTCCCACGTTCTGTTTCATATCTCCTTTTCCCTTCTTCTCTTCCAGCTAATGCTTAATTTCTTTTTCTTTTTATGGGCATGAGAGAATGAGAAAGATTACATATTATTTTTATCATTAGCCGCTGATAAAGAAAATTTTATGTTTGGTTTTATAATGAATTAGATCCAATAAGAGATGAAATTACTATATTTTTAACCATTCCAAACTTGTCTTAGATGACATGCAAATTTCCATTTCATTTACAAGGAACCAATTTCTCCTTTCCTCATTTGTCTTCTCATCAGCCCCACCCTCCCTTTTCCACTTCCCTCTCTTTATCTTCTTCCTCCAACGATTTTCTATAGGCGCAGCTGCAAATGAAACTGGCATATCATGCCCTGAGGGAAAATAGTATATATATATATATATATATATATTAGATGTCTATAGACAAAAACCTTCCATAGTGATGTTATGTAGAGTTTATAGATTTTTTTTAAATCCCAATTATGCCCTCTATTGCCTCTTTGCATATTTGGTTGTCTTATATAGAAAAAACCTCATTTCACCGAGTAAAGGATATGAAACAAAAATCAAACCTGAAGCCATCAGTCGTTGAGATGGCCAATGAATCAAATAAAGATCAAGATATTCGAGTTGTAGTTCTTTGTGGGCGTTATTTAAGAGTTCACATCTCCGCCCCACAGCACATTCTTGCCGTGTATTAAGAACATCTCCTGATGATAACATTAATTGTGGGGCGGAGATGTGATCTCGTTATTTATAGCATATCTTACCATGTATGGTGGCAGCGAGCACCATAGCTTTGATGTGATGAAGAGATGCTCTCTGTCCATGCTTGCTTGTATGGCCTTCTTGAATTCCATACTCCGACCTCTTCTTGAATTCCATACTCCGAAGTCGAGTCCACGTGTTTATAATCAACTTCAACAATTGTGATGAAGACAGAGTTGGTAGCTTCAGAACTAGGCCTCCAAGTGCCCAATCCCATTGCAAGTATGGTGTGACCGCTCAATAGTCGAATTGATTGGGTCAATGAACATGGCTCGTGCCATCTCCTCTTACGCTCTCACAATTTACTTTCCTTCTCTGCTTTGTGATTTGGTTAATTGATTCTAGCGTGTTGATATGATCATTTTTTTTATCACAAGATGAGCAGAGAGGAGAAAATGCCCTTATGTGAGATGTTATCTTAGCTCCATTGGCGGCAATTGGATACAACGATGATATGAACAACATTCAACTTCACTGTTGCAAGGTTTAAGATTATCTTTTTTGTTTTCTTTGAATTAATTACATATCATTTTAATCTCAAAATTAATTTAGGTATATTAGTCATTGTGCTTTTTTGTTAGAGATAACGGTTTAAAAAAAATTAAGGGGATGTTTGGAACCGTAGCCGTTTTTCAAAAAAAAAATAGTGCTACGTTGGATCCACATAAGCGTTTCAACAAACACCCATGTATCTAATTATTTGGTTCAGCCGATTATTAAAAAATCGGGACCCCATTGATGAACCGTTTCTCCCAATGATTGATTGATGTGTATTCTCTGTGGTGTTTATCTGTCAATACATACATGCGTTTTTTTTTTTTTGAAAAATGGGTTTTGAAAGAATGAGCATTTTTTTTTTTTGAAAATCAATTCCAAAAAACACCCACGCTTTCAAACACCATGTAAGAGAAAATGTTTAAGTAATTAAGTCCATTTTAAAAAGCGAAGGGATGTTTTATTTAGGTGAAATATAGGGGAGGTTTTTAAGTCTTTTACCCAACAAAAATGGTGATTGACATACAAAAAATGTTGCAATGATACGCCCTTGATCGTTCATCTAACTGGACTCTTTATAATTCAACCTGATCATGAGATGCGCTTTAAAAAAAATTAGGGAGAAGTATAGATACACACAATGCAGATTTCTGATGAGATACACTGGGTATCGGTCATTCTCCCAATGAGATGCATAAAGTTACCGGGTAATCGGGTACTCGTCGGCTCTCCTTATCAGCTCAAAGAATATATACTTTTAAAAAAAATCCGGTAAGCTATCAGCTCAAGTGCTCAACTACTAAAAGAAATCATCAAATGAACTTCTTTCATCTCTCTTCCTGTCTCTTATCTTTCTCAATTTAAATCATACATTCATATTCTAAGAAGAGTAGGATTTACGTGAAGTAACTTTCACCCACACCGAAACCCACCAACCCATTAACCTGAATAAAACGCGGGTTTCGGTCTCTCTCTCTCTCAACCCCCTAATTCGCGGCAACCGACGCTCTCTTTCTGAGTAACGTTCCTCTTTCTCCCTCCCTCTCTCTCTCTCTCTCTCTCTCTCTCTCTCTCTCTCCATGGATTTCGCTATTAATACACCCAGTCTCGCTCTTTTCTCCGTTGCGGTTGCTTTCATCCTTCTTGCAAGCGCAGCAGAAGCCTCCATCCATTTCTACGACCAAGAAACCTTCAAGGAGGTCGGAAATGCTTATCTTCTTTCCGGTGGTAGCGAGGGCATCGTCGCTTCTCGTGCTGGTGCTTTCGATGACAAGAATGCTGGATCCGGGATCCACGATGGCCGTTCTTTTATCCGGTAGTGTTCAACAAATTTGTCTCGCTACCCCCTCTCTCTGTGTCTGTGTGTGTGTTTATATTCGTTCGTCTATCTATGTCTTTTCAGTTTACTCTTGTTTTTCTTGCTAATTGGTGTTTATTTTTATCAAATGAGAGAATGTTGCTATATTCTTCTTTTAGTCGGTGGGCATTGATGGATCGGATTTAAGGAGAGATCTGCTAACCTTTGACTTGCATTAGATCTAAGGTGGCAATGCAGTACTAGATGCATCCGGAAGGAGAAAAATTGAGTCTTCAAATGTAATGACTAGAATTTCTGACTTTATAAGATTAACAGAAACGGAATATAAATGTGAAGCGAGAGAGATCAATTCATGTAGCTAATTTACAACTACCACACTTCTAGAGGGGATACTTTCCATGTGAATTTATCATGCAATTAAGTCATTAGGTATTGGCATGTTTTGGCATGGCATATTAGGCCGGCATATAATCCAGACGGTTTGGTGTCTATACTTAAAGAGGACGTTTCCGGCATATGTTTTATGGTGTTATTACCCGGATTTTTGATTGGGATGATGAATCGGGATAGCTAGGTATGATGGATCTGAGAAGAATTTCTGACTCGATGGTCGTAAATGACAAATGATCATTTTTGAAACTGTAAATTGAGGACTCTGGAGAGGAATTTCTGACTTCTGCCATTGCATCAAGAAATGAGTAAGATAATTGGTTGTATAAAAGGCAATTAATTTTTTATCATAATTGCCTTGAGGATCACACAAGGCGATACTTTATGTATTACTCAAGAAGATTTTGGCAAAAGCATAAATGAACCTAAGTTGCTACCTATAGAAGTTTCTACTCAGGAAGGAGAATGCATGGTCTACAGTAGAATTTTAATGTACAAAAGATTTAAATGAAAAGTAGAAATAAAGAAAATAAGCCTAGAAGTGACACTCAACATATTATTGAGTGTTGTTTATGTGTTATGCTTCACCACCTATTTTCATGGCATTAAAATAATTTCATAGGAGATACAGGCTAAAGGCAACATGCAGAGGAAATGTGGTTGACTAGTTGCAGTTGCAGAAAGATGCTTGGATTGAACTCAAGGATAAGTTCTTTTGCAATTGGAAATGAATGTGGATTGGAATACAAGTCAAAGGCCAAGTGCCAACTAAAGCCTTGAGAAATTGCTGCTTGGTAAAGTAACCTAGAAATTCTTATCTCAGGAGGGTAAAGTCATCTAATATTTGAAAGACCATATATTTTATACATGCCAGAAAGCATATTTGGTCATTTTCCTTTTCTTGTTTTGTTTCTTCTTTTTCTTAAAGATTGTTAAAGATCAGAGTTACATTATTATAAGAATGAGGACATAAAAGGGGGGATGTGCATGAGGGGCATTGGACAAAAAAGCAGGTCATCAGATGCTATAGAGATATCTTTTCCATGATTTTCAATAACTATTTCTAACATTGTGGTATGATACATTCTAGATCTCCTACCTTTAAAATTAGTGGTCTGATTAGGTTTTCTTAAATATTTGTTATCTAATCATTGTAAACATGTAAGATACATTCGCGAATGAAATATGCATTTTGGGCTGTGATTTGTCTCATACTTTTGGGTATTTAAGAAAATTTTTAAGTGAGATTTTGCCTCGATTTTCTCTTAATAATTCTAGGTTTGGATAATAACAGGACTACATTAACAACCACTTTTCTTATAGCATGCAGGGGATTAAGCAATCTTTTTTTTTTTTTTTCGATAAGTAATAATTGATTATATTAAAAACTCAATAATGACAACTTATACAATGAGCTTCCCACAGAGAGGTGCAAGGTGCAGTGCCAATTACAAAAAAAAAAAAAACAGATTAGAATTGAGCCCAAAATATATAATCTTTATGCACACCCTGCTTAGCTAAACAATCTTCTGTGCCATTAGCCGATCTCCTTTCTCACTAAATTCTTACAGTCATATTTGACATCAAACATCAACCATTTAAACCTTTTCATTGCTTCCCTACAAGTCCAAACAACAGTGTCTAGATTCCTTGGCCACCCAATTATCAAATTTGAATCAGCGTGATTACTAATCTATCAATGTTTATCTCTATAGCAAATAGTGCTCCTGCAGAACTGCTTGAAATTCAGCTTGGATATAGTCCCCCTCACCTACAGGACCTGAAAATAGAGCAATTATATGGCCTTCTACATTTCTGAAAACACTTCTATTCCTGAGAGCCCTGGATTACACAAATTGGTACCATCAAAGTTGTGCTTAATGAAACCTTTTTTCAGGAGGTACCCAAACTAAGAGAGGCCTTATCTTGATTTCTGAACTTTTTTCTACAGCTCCCCAATTCCGCCAAATATCATCAAAGGAAAAATGGAAAAATAGATCCAAGGTTTTAGCCCATTGGATAGCCCTATTTACAATGCAATCCCAAATAGCCTCCTCATTCCTTTCCTAGTCATTAAAGATTCTAGCATTTCTCTCCTTCCAGACTGTCCAAACCATAGCATCACTAGCACATCTCCATAGGATTCTGCCCCTCCTCTTAGGCCATTTGAAGGTTGTAGGGTCAAATAGGCTACTAGTTTGCAAAGGCAAATTCCACCTGCAACCAAATAGAACAAATAACCTTTCCCAAAAGCCTGCAATAACATGGCATGAGATTAGCATATGGTAACAACTCTCACTATCAGCTTCACATAGAATACACCAACTTGGGGAAATACAAGGGAAATGTCTTCTTTTTTGCAGGTTGTCCAACATGTTTAGCTTTTCATAATAGATTTTCCAACAAAGAGCTCCAACCTTGGGTTGGATAGGCTTGGACAAAACTTCTTTAGAAAGGGAAGGCTGGGGAAGAGGAATCTAAGCACAAGGAGGAGAAAAAAAGAAGCACTAAAGAAAAGGCCCTTAGGGTGAGGAGTCCAAACCCAACTATCTGGAAAAGAAGGATCCAAAAAAAAAAGAGTCAAGAAGTTTTACTAGCAAGGCAACTTGATCAGACTCATGATTCCTCAAGTCTCTTCTCAAACCCAAATCCCAAATAATACTAGTTGAAGTGGAGAAGGAAGCAAAGCGTTGGATAGGTTCATTCTTGAATAGAGAGAGAGAGAGTACAAAGAGGGAAAGAGGTCCTTGAGAGTAGAGTTACAAACCAAAGATCTTCCCCGAACAAAGCATTGTCTCCAGTACACACATCATACCTTCTGAGTTTTAAGAATTGGGGGAGAATACCATGTATGGGTTTCCAAGATTTTGCCATGTATTTAAGGCTTTTAAGTAAACTTTTAAACAAGATTATGCCTTGATTTTCTCTTGATAATACTAGGATTAGATAATACTTGATTACTTTAACCAACCGCTTTTCTCACAGTATGCAGGGGATAAATCAGGTAACTTTAAGGTTCCTTTTTTGGGTTCATTCTTTTTTAAATTTTAATTGGTTTGAGATAATATAAAGCTTACAATGTTTTTATCAAAATCTAGAATTTTGTAACTGCTCTCTAGAAAAGAAGAAAACTAAGATTTTAATTTCTGTTTTGGTAAAGACTGAAATGTGGTCTAAAGACAAAAACATTGCTCTTGATGGAGCATAATGGCAGGGCAATATTTAAGGTGGCTAACCCCAAATAGTTGGGAGCTTGGGATTAAGGCTGAGTTATGTTGGATTAAGTTGAGTTTTGGCAAAGACTGAAGTTGGTCCATGAAGAATGTTTAGAAATGGAATGAACTAGATACTCAGTTGTAATCAGAGCCTCTACAACTGCATCTATTTTTTTTTGTATTGTATTATTGGTATTATTTATTATCATTTGTTTATTTAATTAACTGATGAGGTGATTTGTATGTTCAAAAATTGATTAAAATACTTGAGCAGATTTGAGAATATCACCTTCTGGAGAAGCAAGGAAGCTGCAGACAAGCATTCAAGTATGGCACATAGTACCGGGTTGATTCAAGCTACTATTTTTGAAGCAGCTGATCGGGATAATATTGGTGGTTCAGCTTATGGTGGACAAAGATCTATATGTTGCACCCCTGATCTTGCAAAGCTTGAAGGTTGTAAGCAAGGCGAAGTCATCAGGAGACCTTCTGCTGAGGATCCTCATTGGCCTATTGTTTTAAATATACAATTCAGTGGAAACTATTTATCTACAAAGATGGATGCTACTGAGGTTCACATTACAAAGACTGGAATGTATAATTTGTTCTTTATATCCTGTGATCCAAATCTTAAGGGACTGGTGATGAGTGGAAAGACATTGTGGAAGAATCCTGATGGTTATTTACCAGGAAGGATGGCACCATTGATGAAATTCTATGTTTTCATGTCACTTGCTTATATAATACTCAGTCTCATATGGTTTTCTCAGTATGTGAGATTTTGGAAGGACATATTGCAGATTCAGAACTGCATAACAATTGTTATTGCTCTTGGTTTGTTTGAAATGGTTCTTTGGTATTTTGAATATGCAAACTTTAATAACACTGGAATGAGGCCAGTTGGACTCACAACTTGGGTTGTGACAGTTGGAGCTGTAAGAAAAACTGTTTCACGCCTTCTTATACTTTTTGTTTCTATGGGATATGGTGTTGTTCGGCCTACTCTTGGTGGCCTTACCTCAAAGGTGCTTCTTCTTGGAGTTACCTATTTCTTGGCATCTGAGCTGCTTGATATTGCTGAGAATGTGGGAACCATCAATGACATTTCAGGAAAAGCTAGACTCTTCCTGGTTCTTCCTGATGCATTCCTGGATGCATTCTTGATATTGTGGATTTTCACATCTCTTTCAAAGACATTGGAGCAACTACAGGTATATTTAAATAAATGTAAGGGTTGCAAATATGCTACATTTAGAATCATGGACAACAATTGCAATTTCTCATTGCAGTCACAATGGGACTTACCTTTCTTTTATATGCCATGTTGTTTCCTTTGTGGGGAAGGTTGATTCTTCAACCATTCTCTGACACTGATTTCATTTGTAACTTCCAGGCAAAGAGGAGCTCTGTTAAATTGGATATTTATAGGAAATTTTCAAATGCATTAGCAGTAGCTGTAATTGCTTCAGTTGTTTGGATTGGTTATGAGGTATGTTTTCCAATGAGAAGAACTTATTTAAATTCAGATTTGTTCAAATAATGAATTAATGCCTCTTTGACATATACATGATTTACTCTTCTTTCATAGGGAAAGAAATGCACCTTATTTCATTTTTTATCTTTTGCATTGCTCAGTTTCCTACTTCAAATTTATCCATGCATCTGGTTTGTTATTTGATTGAAGTTAGGCAAAAGGATCTTCATGTTTTCTGATAGGTGAGGTATTAATATTATAATATATTATAATATCAAAAAGTGATAGGCTAATAGCAACAAAGAGTGCATTCATTTTGGATGTCCTCATCCAAGGTGATTTGCATGTTTATTTTATGAGTAAAAAACTGTAAATCTTAGGGTAATTTCCTAAGTTCCATAGCAAGTAGCAACCGTCTTTCGTTAATAATTGTCTATAAACTTCATAAAAAACGTATAAATTTCATTTAAAAATAGAAAATCAATATTTTCATGATAAAAACGAAGAGAGAAGAAAATGGTAAAAAGGAAGAGAAGAAATTTCAGCAAATAGAGGGGTTGAAAATGATCAACAAAAAAGGAAAAAAATAGAGGGGATGAACCATATTTTTGTTCTAGGAAAAGAAAAAGAAATGATACATGTTGATTGAAGTATTCAAAAGGATGCATGTTGATTGAGTTCTTTTTTGCTTATCAGTTCAGGTTTTGAAGTCTTCAAGGGTTTAAGACAGCATACATGTTGATTGAACCCCAACAAATAAGAAAATAATAAAAAGAAGCTAGTAACAACAATGGCAAGGAAGATGATCAATGGTGAGGATCTTGTTCAAAAAGAAAAGGAACATATCTTGAAGGTGAAGAGCACATGACATAGGTGCTTTCTCCCAAGCGGCCCAACGTTGTGGCCTAGCAAGGCGCATCACTGCTTAGGTGACAAAAATTAATAAATAAATAAAATACATTTTTCATACTGTATAATCATAAAGTTAGTTTCCAATTATTAAACCACAAATTAAAGCAATAAATGATTAAACATACATATGACTTTCAAAAGAAGACACAGATTCTAGGTGTCACCTGGTCAATACTTAGGTGATGCTTTAACTACACCTGCTCCTGTTAGATGTATAGGATCCCAAATTTCTCAATCTTTATAGTATGGAACATAAAAAACAGAATATTGAGGGTCCAAATTGATTTCCATTTTCTACCAAAGAAAATTGATTTCTGTTGGCATAAATAAATTATTCATTCCTAATTGTTTACTTGGCACTAAAGCTAAAAAATTACAACCCGCCAATAAAAAACAGTTGTTAGAAAATATTTTGTAGTTTTGGTATTTATCAAAAAATAATAATTTCTAGTTTTGGTGCACTCCATAGTCCATATCTTCTGTAATCCCAAATTTTATCTTGTTTTACTCCTTGTACCAGATAATGACATTGCTGAGCTGCCTTGTATTTGGTCTCTTGGCTTTGGGATATCATGCTTTAATATGCCCAATCCCAAAGTAATAATGTGGCTAATGAATTAAGATTATTTTCTATGTGTGTGACTTTTGGTGATCTTGGGTAAGTCTTTTCTCAAGTCTCAACTAATATAGGACAACAATATCATTTCTGAATTCTTTCACCAACCTCTCAAACAACTTAACTAAAGACCTTTGGCATGGTTAAAAAAATTGATTATCATTGAGTCTAGACCCATCATTTTGTTTAGAAAATACCAGCCAGCTCTATTACCAAATTGATGAAACACGATTTAGCTTTGGCACCATATTGATGTAAGACTAAAGATTTGATGCCAAACTGGTTTAGGACTGATAGTTTTCAACAAAACTCAACTAAGCCTAGTCCTAACTTTATGGGGTAAGCTACATGAATCCTGTTCCACCATTCCACTCTGTTCAGTGCCATGTGCATTGCATGGGCTTTTTTTTCCTTTTTTGGTAAAAGGTAAGGATGGTTGGAGAGAGAAATTGAGGAGGGAGAGGTTTGGGATGCGATTAAGAAGATGATTGGTTTCTACAAAATGTGTTGGACCATCATTAAAGGACTTGATGCTAATGTTTAAGGAGTTTTTTTTTTTTTTGTGGGGGTGGGGGGGAGAGAAAAAGCTAGAAAAATCAGCAAATGCAACTTTTATCTCTCTCATCCCCAAAATAGTTGGGGCTGTTAGAGTGAAAGATTTCAGACCTATCAGCCTGATCTGTAGCCCGTATAAAATTTTGGCAAAAACCTGGGAGGTTAAAGTTGGTGCTTCATGCTGTGGTGGGGCCCACTCAAATGGCATTTGTACAAGGAAGACAGATTTTGGATGGGGTGTTGATTGCTAGTGAGTGTATTGATTGAAAGATTAGAAATTGGGGATGTAGGGGTAATTCGTAAGATTGATCTTGAGAAGGCATATGATCACGTGGAGTGGGGTTTCTTGGAAGAAGTGATGAGGAGGATGGGAGACATCCAAAATTCTGTTCTTGAGTTGTGTGCCGGAGCTTTGGGCTGTCTGGTTGGAAACTTCCCTTTCTCTTATTTGGGGCTTCCAATTGGGGCTACGGCTTCTGCTGCTTCTACCTGGCAACCTGTGCTAGACAGAATAGACCAAAGCTGACCGGTTGGAAAGGAAAATTTCTTTCCTTTGCTGGGAAAGTTACTCTGATAAAAAGTATCCTTTCTAACCTGCCGTTCTATTACCTATCTCTGTTGAAGGCTCCAACAGCAGTGTTGGGAGAGATAGAATCCAAATAAAGTTTTTGTGGAGTGAGGGCTGAAAAAAAGAAAATACATTTAGTTAAGTGGGAGGTGGTGTGCAAGCCTAAAAAAGAAGGGAGCCTTGGGGTGCGAAAGGTGGGGGTTAACAAAGCTTTGTTGGGAAAGTGGGTGTGGAGATTTGGAAGAGAGAGGGAGGCAGCACTATGGAGGAGAGTAGTGACTGGTAAATATGGGGTGGTGAACTTTGGGTGGGATTCAAAGGAAGTAAGCCACTCTTATACCTATTGGAAAGGGTTAATGAGTTTCAATTCTGTGGTGGTTTCTCATTATTCCTAGAGGGCAGGGATTGGGTCTAGCATTAGATTCTGGGAGGATGATTGGTCTGGATTGGGGAAGTTTTGTGAGATCTGTCCAAGGTTGTACAGATTGGATCGGAAGGGTGTACATATTTCTGATTGTTATGAAGTTTCAAATGGTTCTGTGGTGTGGACACCAAACTTCAGAAAGCTTCTACTCAACTGGGAGCTGGAGGAATGTTTGGAGCTGCTGTCCAAATTGCAATCTTTGGAAATTAATCTGTCAGATGGTGACATCAGATGGTGGAAGGAATGCAAGGATGGAAAATTTACAGTCAAGTCAATGTACACTATTCTGATTAGAAATATGGTAGAAGCTGATCCAATTCAGGGAGTGTGGGGGAAACCAGTGCCCCCAAGAGTGGAAGCCTTTGCATGGTTGATAGCCAGGGGGTGTATTCTGACTCAGGGCATCCTAAAGAGTTGAGGCTTTCAATTTCCAAGCAGGTGTGCCCTGTGTTTGTCTGGAGAAGAAAACAGTATGCATTTGTTCTAAGTTGCAGCTTCATTTTCCCAATATGGTTCTACTTCTTCAAGCTGTTTAAAGTGGATTGGTGATCAATCTCATGATCAGTCTGAAATCTTTGGACTTTGGCCAAGAGTTCGGGTGGTCCTAAGGTCAAGCCGATGCAGAATTGCATTCCATTTGCGGTGTGCTGGGAAGTTTGGGAAGAGGTGGTGGCTCGGATCAACTCATCATTGGGTGTTAATTCTGCCAGATTTTCAAGGATTTAAGAAAGAAGACTTTGAATGCTTAAGAAAGAAGACGTAGGTACATCGTACACGTAAAATGATTTAACAGAGAAAGAACCTGACAAGTCAAATTTCCAGATCCTCATATCTTCCTGATTCACATATACTTCTGCACTTTGCAACAGGGAGAGTAGCTCCAACAATTGCTTGACCTACTAATCATTGAGATTTCTTTTCAGATCAGTATTCCTAGCCACTTGACCATTAGCCACCAAGAAGGAGTTTCTATCTCTAGTAGCCGGAAACAGACAGAAGCAAGTCGATGAGAGTTTTATTAGAACACCTCAGCACCATGTATAGCTCCAAAATTTGACTTGTTGACCATTTACTCACCTTGAAACTTATTCTTGCCGAGAATTGATTGAAACTCTTCTCAACCCTTTTCCAGAGAGCACGACCATATGACTTTAGGTAAGCCCGGATCCCAATTCAGATTTGTTGACCCATATTTGGCTAGAATGATGAATGATCTTCCTCCACAAGCTATCTGGTTCCTCACTGAAATGTCAAAACCATTTCCCCAATAGAGCTTCATTAACCAATCTCAAATTTCTTACACCCAGCTCACCCCAATTCTCCAATTTACCAAATGAATTGTATCTTCTTCTCTCCACCCTTTCCAGAGGAAATTTCTCTTCTTCCTCTAAACTGTTTCTGCCACCCGAGCTGGAGCAGGAAGATCTGACAGCACATTGTTCAGTAATGTTATTTGCTCCCCTTAGAAAGGTATCTCAGTTTCCATGATTCCAACATCTTATCAAATCTTTCTTATATAGGGTTCCACACTGCCTTGGAAATACACCTTTGCTCTAGTTATAAGCCCAAGTATTTCATAGGGAGCTTACCCATGGACAAGCTCAAAGGCTGATACTAATTAATGTAGGACTGATGTGCACAAAGGCTGGACTGGAACATATTTGAGGGAAAACTCATAAGAAAATTACATTTTCAAGGGCTTAACGTTTTTCTAGGTCTATAGAGCTATATAATTTGATAGTAAAATTAATTCAGGGTTGTAATTACTACGATATACAGAAATTTCTAAAGAAATAAAAAAATCAATTACTTGAGATTGGAATAAAATTTCTTCAAATTGTTTTAGAGTAGTGTTTGGCATGGTAAACTGAAGAATGGGGTTGAATTTGGAGGGGTTCTGAGATAACTTGTGAAGCTAGGTTTTATGGATAAGAGTTCCC